GGAACACCATTGAACTGAAGAGCATTCAAAAATTCTGTTGGGTAAGTTTCAACAAATAGCTGAGGTACCTCTGTATCAAGTTGCATAGAGTCTGAACTGTAGTAGCAACGGCAATGTCCAGGAATTTTTTGCAACATGAAGTCATTCACTTCAGCCACAACTGCATTAGTAGGAGTAACGATTGCCCTTCCACTTAGGTAATCTGTGCTCATGTGTTGTTCCTCAAATGTGTCATATATGTCATTTGTGATTGACTCGATTGGATTTTTTCCAGCATATATCAAGAGTATTTGTGGTATCTCAATCCAATCTGAAGGTGTGTTAGCCATAAAGGATTTTGTTGGAAGCCTTCCATCTCCTAGCGCCAGAATCCACTCACCAAAGTTCATTCCACAGCCGACCAGGTTTCTATTATCCTGTGAATCATTAAGCCTCATGTTCCTTGACAGTTTGAGCACTTTAAAAAAGGGCCACAATGATGACCTTGTGATGGATCCATCCACTGTTTGTTCCCTTCCTGAATCTGAAATTACTGGTAGAGTCTGTCTAAAATCACCACCAAAGACTACTGTTTTCCCTCCAAACAACTTGTGTTTTGGACCTGATAGTGGTATGTCCATCAAATCACAAAACGTCCTGCTTATAGCCTCAAATGCATTTCGATGTGTCATCGGTGCTTCGTCCCAAATAATCAATGAAGCTGCACGTATTAGCTCAGCTAAATGAGTACCTTTCTTTATGGAACATGTAGATGCATGGTCTATATGAAGGGGAATCTTGAACCTTGAATGAGCAGTTGTGCCGTTTGGTAGTAGTGTGGCTGCTATTCCAGATGAGGCAACAACTATAGCAATTCAGGAAAGACTTTTTAATTTTGCAATGATTGCATTGTAGAGAAAAGTCTTGCCTGTTCCTCCATGGCCATATAGGAAAAATGAAGTGCCAAGGTTGTTGTTGATGGAGAGAATAATGAGTGTGAAAGCCTCTAGCTGTTTTGTGTTCAGTTTGCTAACCATAGTATTTGCCAGTAACCTTTGTTGATCATCATCAAAGTTAAGATGCTCATTAATCAGGGGATTTGATCCATCGTCAGGTTCTGAATCTGTCGGTCTTGGGAGATGTAATTGCTGAAGTGAAGAACCATAAGTCCTCAGAAAAGTTTCCAGCTGATGTAACACCCAATTCTTAAGTCTCTCATCTGAAGGCTGGAAAGTTTTTGAGTGTAGCTGTTTACGAAGAGAATAAACATGATCTTCACTCATTAACCTCCATGAAGATTCAAATAGAGCATTAGGATCAGGTATCTCGCAGAACATCAGCATTGAAACAAATGTAGTCCGTATTATGTGTGGCATACTTGATGCTACAATTTCTTGTAATACCTGAATCCATTCTGAAGAGTCCGACAGAAGCCCCAACTTTTGGCATGCTCTTTCGTAAGTACTGCAAACCTCCCCTTGTATTGTTCTTAAATTGAGGAAGCTTGTTGCTCCTCTTACTTTGGTCAATAGCAGCCTAAGAAAGAATATATCATCACTTCCTGGAGGAACATATGCTATCCTTCCTATTGCGAAACCTCTTTTCCTTGGAGTCCATTCACTGTATTCTTCATTCCATGTAAAGGAATTTGGTATCTGAGCATATGTAAGCTTTCTTGCATTGCAATCATGTCTGTTAAGTTCAAACCATGAAGTAAGATGAGTTTTGCCTGCCCTTGGATTTTGCAAAACATTTTGAATATTTGACCTTCTCTTGTATGAAACATTCTGTTGTCCATCCATGTGTACACCAAGTCGAACCACATTAGGCTCTCTGTGGTGTATAGAATACTCGTTGATTCTCCATATAGCTTCGTATGAGGACAGCGACCTGCAATCAATGAACTCTTGTATCTCGTCTTTGGTTTTTTTTGTTATATTTGATGGCGCCTGAACTGAGCTTGTCGAGTCTTCTGCAACAATAAGAGATCTACCTGGTCCTTTAGTAATGTACTTAAATAAGTACTTCACTAAGCCTCCCTTGTGACATATCTCCACATTAATATGGGCTTGAGCTCTAACCAATAAGTTCCGATTGTATGGAACGACATATCTATTATCCAGCATTGCCTTTCCTTTTTGAACCTGAATGCCGGAATTTCTTCTTCTGTACACGACATTGCCAAACTTGTCGAACGAAGTTTCTGAACAGAATTCTTTTGGAAAATACTTCGAACATTTACCATCTTTCATACATGGTGAAGTGGGGTTGTTAACACCACAAGGTCCATGAATCATGAACTTAACCACTGCAGCATACCCTTCTGGATCTAGATTAGGGTCTGGTATCTCTGCAGAAATCATCTCATCAATGTCAGATGTTGACTTTAGCTTATCCTCTTTGGCTAACCATATAAGCATATGGACATGTGGGAGGCCCCTCTTCTGAAACTCAACTGTGTAGATTACTGCGAAAAAACAGTCCATCATTTGAACTTGATAGCTCATTCAAATCATAAAAGAAATTTTATACAATGAAAGGTCATCTACAGGTAACTCACTGGCTATCATTTTTCCGAAATATGATTCTCTTTTAAACTCGTCAATTAATATGGCAAGCTTCATGTGAAACACACGGCAGACCACCATAGGCTTCAACTCGCTGTTTGGTCCAACCATATCTGCAAAAGCATCAACAATTTCTTCCCAAAGAGCATTGCAGGTAAATGTAACAAATAAATCAGGGTTACCATAATGTTGACAGGTTGCCATGGCATCATGATATAGTTGTTGCATATATCTTGGTCCTCCTGTATAAGATGATGGCATTATAATTCTTCCAAGTTTTTCTCCATCCATGTCTCCCTTTGCAAATGCATCCTGCAACCCCTGATAAACTTCTGCTCTTAAATCTTTTTGATGAGTTCTAAGAAATGCCAGGCGATTGAGTTCAATTGTTGAAAATGCATCAACACAGTAATGTTGCAATGCCTTGCCACTTTGAACCAGTGTATGCCCCTCATTCAATCGATACTGAAGTCTAAAAGCATAATACTCTTTTTGAGTAACAAATTTTCTGCGCATTGATGCTGGACAAAAGGAGGCATTATAAGATATTTGAGGATGAAACCCACCTTCTCCGTATGGGAATAGCAATGGGAAGTGAAGAGCCTCGAATTTTGGGTTGAGGCTTGTTATACGTTTCGGCCCTTCTCCTCGATGGTCAACAATGATATCTCTATCCTCCCTATCTGCAACAAAATCACCAGGTATTAAGGCTGCAATATCAGAGCTAGTTGGCAAGTCATATTGTCGATTCCTACTTTTGATCCCAAAGATTCTGAGTCGGAGATTTGGTGTGGAAGAAAGCTGGAGATCTTGTCGAATGCGCCTAAATGTTCTGACCAACTCGTTGTTTTCATCAAGCATTCGAAGCAAACTTGCAAGTAACTCAGGCAGCAAGACTTCCTCTCGAGATGCGAAGTTTGCAAGTCTATTGTTAACCTCATTTTCAGGTTCAAATATATATAGCTGAGCAAACTTGGGCCTATTTCCATCAACTGGAAGTAAGGATCCAATCCTATGGTAATTCTCACCACAAATAACCATCGAATAAGGTCCTCTTGTTGTCAAAGAGCGTGGATCCAGTTTGGCTCCAAAAGATGTGAAACACAAAGAACCATTGTAGGGTCTAATGTTGTCTCTAAAATGCTTTGACATTGCACCTCCATTAAGATCCAACAGCTGAGCAAGCAATGGAGGTGGTGGCTTTAACAGGGGAATGCAAACTCTTCCTTTCTGACAACAAAGACTATACACAGGATTTAAGGATTTCCTGTGTCGATCCAATCGTTCATCATACCAAAAAAAAGCACCACAGAACTGACATACACAGTCAGGTTTTCCAACGCTCAGCCTATCATTGTGCAATGGCTTTCTTGCAGTTGGGACATCAGCTGATGCTTTCTTTGCTTTTTGATATTGACGATCATTTGTAGCTAAACTGCAAGATGCCTCATCACCACCCATTTCTGTATAAGGATCTGGAGGAACGAACTCACTGTTGTGAGCATTTGTCGACTTTGAAATTTCCCCTGAGAGAATGAACGGAAGGCTTCTCAATCTCTTGTTTACTCTGGTGTTATCCATGTTCATATCTGTAAAGCTGTGTGTTGGATTCCTGGAGGATTCGATTGTGAAAGAAGTGTCACCTCTCTTTCGCCTCAACAGGTTGGAAGTCGCTCTCTTCTTTCTAGGTGTCATTCTGATTACATGAAGTAAATGTTTGATATCCAGTCAAACTTAAATGAGCCAAAAACAAAAGTTCAATAACTGCAAACTTCAGTGTTCTGTCTTGGTCAGAGAGACAAAGAAGAGGATCCAAATCATTTAAAGAGGTTCCATTAATGTGTAACTGAAGAATAACGAATACAGACATGCTTAACTGTATCTGATGACGTGGTCTATATCACCAATGATGAGTGTCTCTGACTTGTAGCTCCAAACAGCTGATCATAAGGTCTTACCTTGCTGTATACTCCAGCTAGCTGATACTCCACTGAAGGGAAAAAGTCGACACAAACATAATTACTTGTTGAACACAGGAGCAAAAACCAGAGGGCAAAGAGAAAGTTGAAGGTCCATTGACGAAATCTCTTTGATATCTGATGTGTTCCTTGATAAGATATTATACAATCAATATATAATTTTATATCAGGTGTCTAATCTCTATCCAAGTAGTCATTGTGACTGCAGGTTCTGTAACCAAGGGTAAACAATGATGGCTTTTGCATTTAATGCTTTAGATTTTGGGCACATAATTAACCCAAATTATTTAAATCTTGCAACCCAAAAGATTCCTTTTAATATTAGCACATGTCTGCTATCCATTACTAATCTCGCTTGTTCTTATCATATTTTTCTTGTGGACAATGCTTACTCTTTCCCATCACATGATGTAAAGAACATTTTTGTGATATTTGCATATACATACAGTTAAGACATAAATGTAAAACATAGGCATCTTAGATAAAAACTATATTCCTTGATAATACATAAAAACTGCTGATCATTCACATTCTACAAAAGAGGGACCAAAAGGGCAGAATTTTGCCCACACTGGGGTCACAACATTTCAGGTGTCCAAACTGACCACCCTGATTTTGCACAGAAAATTACATGCACTTAAAACTTACACCTCATAAACAGATACCCGAAGTACCATTAGTTTTGTCTAGAAACCAACAACATAATTTCCACAAAGTTGCCAAAATTAGCCAAGAAAGGCAAGAACAAAGTTTACAAACGGGTTCCCCAGAAGTTTACAAAAGAGCTACAAACCCTACAACCAGCACAACTTCAAACGATCAACAACATAATCATCCTGCCCACCATCAAAAGGACTTCCTCCTTGCAGCAAATCCAGCATCCACAAAAGGCAACCACCTTTCCTGCACCTAGCATAACTTAGATCCAGTAAATAACATAACCAATCAACATTCAAAACTAATAAATAACACACAAAGGGATCAGACTCGAATTTATACCCTAAGATTCATACAGGCGACGCTTAGCAGCAGAAGGCTTCCCAGGCGCCCTTTGTGAATCTTGGTCAGCAAGCGAAAAAGGGGACGTACTTTCTGTTTGCTCATCATCCTGCCTCACATTAGGAGATCCAGTTCCAGAAGATTCCAGCTTCTCAATCTTCACCTTAGCCAGAGGTGATATCAAGCTGCATTGTCAAAGACCAAAACAATAAATTCCGACTGCACTCTAACCATGACATGATAAGTTTAAAAGTAAAAAACTCACAGACTCCTTGAAGACAAAGGCGAAACTGCCGAAGATGACTTGCTGATTTTACTCTGAGGAGTTTCAGAACCCAGCCCAGCAATGGATGACAATCCATGTACTACCTGGCTAGTAGAACTCATCACATCCATACCATCACTCAGAGTTCCAGGAGTCCCTACTGCACCCTTCACAGCACCAACTGACTGGATATTAGAGACCTTCAAAGGATCTGCAATGGTAAAAGGAGTTGCCACAACAGTCGCCACTGGACCTGTTCCTTTTCCTCTCACATCAGCAACAGAAAGCAAAGGTGCAATAGATGAAACAGGAGGCAGCAAATTTGGCAAAATCACGTCGGACACAACAGCATTCTCCTTGATTTCCAAAGGAACTTGAGATGAACTTCAAGAGCCAAATGAGCACATAAGTATTTACCATGCAACAACAGCAACAAAGCACAGGTTAATGCATCAATACCAAATCAAGTAAAACAGTCCAAATGTGTTACCTGAGAGGCAACCCTGCAACCTGGCCAATCTGGAATGTTGGATTCGTCCCTCCAGGCGAAACTGAGTCAACAACCTTTTCCTTTCCCTTGGATGAGCTAGATTTGTAACAGCAAAGATTAATAATTAGACTAACCCAAACCCATACCTAAACCCCCGTAATTAACTAACACAAACATAACAATAGAGCAAACAACGCTCACCTAGATGGTATGACAACAGAAGCTGAAGCTGCGAAAGGTACACCTGGAGCAGGCAGCATCAACATTCCTTCCTGACCAGAATAGGACTGACTTAAGGTTTGGGACGAAGAAACACTGCCTGTGACATCTGGAACTCCTGTAAGACCAAGCACTGGGCCCTGAACATCACGGGGCATAACTCGGAAAACACGGAATTCACCCGTAGATACTCCACTTGACCCAACCATCGGAAGCTTGACCTCAAACCTGACAAACTGGCCGAGCAAAGCCTCATGTTCAGGCGGTAACTGGCCAGAACTGTGAGGATATCTCTGGGCCAGCAGTTGGGCAGATGTGAGCACCAAATTGTTCCCACACGGGCCGAAAATAATGAAAGGGGCCTCGTCAGTGGCATCACGCAGGGTCAATTGGATCTTGTAGCTAGAGACGACACAGTAAAAAACAGAGACAATTCCATCAGGAAAGGCATAGGAATGCAAACTCAAAAAATTAGGCAAATTCTTTAAGTCCTCACAGGCACACAATGAAATAAACAAAAACAACAACTAATGATCAGACAAAACACACACCCAACTGTCACTTGCTGCTTAGTGATCTCCCAATGGTCAGGACACTAGTAGTTACCATTTCGCCATGTAGAACACTTTTTCCTGCACATGCTGCATGACATGTAATACCACGGGCTCCGTGACTCAACCGATCGGACTATACCACCGCAACGATGCTTTTCATCCTGAATATAAACATTGACAATCCCAAAAAGAAATAAAAAAACATAAATAAATGGACAACCCGAAGACCATTCTTAAATCAAGAACTACATGGGAATGCAACTCACGACAGAAGCACCGCCATGGTGCAAATCAAGAAGCTCAGCTATGGTCCTGGTTCTCCGCTCAGCATCAGCAACAGCGTCCCCTGGGGTCGCAAACTTGACCGGCAAATCAGCAACAGGAACTCTGGATCCACCAAAACTGCATAGATGGACACAAAAAAAGTAAAGCAAATCAAACACCACAAAACAAATCTAGAACAACAAAATCACAGTTTAGCAACAAAGAACCCACAAAGCAGCGAGGCTGTAAGCTTCTGGTATCCTCGGGCTAACAACTATACGGGTTCCAGAGGAGCTCGAACTGGAATATTCACTAGCTGCACAACAAAAACAAAATCAGTTCACAATTTATGATCAAGCAGAATGGAAAAGAGTTAAAATACACACCTATCAAACGACCAACCATGAGCCCCCCAACTCCAACGATCACTGGCTCAATGGAGTCCGCCTGAATCAAAGCAGGTCGATCAAGGACTGCCGTCAGTTCATTCCAAAGCGTGATCGACACTCTCTGGCCCCTGACAACAAAACAAAGGATCATATCTTACGTGAAGGTGACGAAACAGTATTCCCCAGTGGAAAAATAAAATAACAGAAAGACCTACTGTGCATTCTCAAGGACCATAACTTGTTTTGGAGTCGAGCCGTGATTAGTAACCTGATGATCAATCCCGCTAATAGAATGAAGACGGCCGACAACATCTGACCGAAAAAAAAGAGCAGTAAGAAGACATAAAACCCAATCCACTTCAGTCAAGAAAACGCAACAATCACCTACAAGGATACGATTGTCCCCTGAACGGTTAGACAGCTCACTATAAGGAACAACCTCAAAGGAATCAGTTGGAAATTCAGCTGCAGGTAGAGAACAGGCCTGGAAAATAGTTGTTGCTGACAACTCTATTATCAGATCAAATGAGCATGCACGATAGAGATTCCTTGCGGCACTGAGACCAAAAGACCTTAGAACGTAGATAACTCCCATGCGCAGCACACGCTCAAATTCAGACCCAATAGAGACATCAGCAAGGCTCTGAATGAGCATACCCTGAATTAAAAACAAATAAAGACAGTAAAGAAAGAGCAAAGAAGGAAAAAAAGAGCAAAAAAACAGAAAGCACTGAAATCACAAAGAATCAGCGTAAGAGAATCTACCGTCTGATCCACCCAGAGGCAACAGTGATTAAACACCCTTGTCCTAGAAGGATTCTTGGCATACCACATATGGAGCAGACGAAGCCTCAGAGTCACCTCTCTGGTACCTCCTTTGAGATTGCAGAGCAGAGTAGCATCCATGGTGAGGAAAAAGGCGAGAAAACAACGACTGAACCACAGAGAACAAAGAGGGCAGGAAAAAAGAGGGAAATGCGTTCCGAGAATGAGTCCTCTTGTGCAAAAAGAATGAGAAATGGCCTTCTCCACCTGAGCGCACGCATCGAGGCACTGAATGACGGCCACAGTGCTTGAAACAGTAAACTTTTTGACACCCTCCCGCCATCAGGTGAATAACCGGTATCAATCAGCCGCCCACCATTCCCAAAGCACCTCCAATCCCAGCCAATCAGCTGCCAAGTTTCTCCAACATAGTCCTGCGAACAACAACCCAACACGACCCTCTAGCAATTCCTAACAGACACAATCATATCATGCAAGACTCACTGAGGACATCTGAAGGCCCCATCCCTCAGGTGAATAACCGCTATCAATCAGTTGTCCACCATTCCCAAAGCACCTCCAACCCCAGCCAATCAGCCGCCAAGTTTCTCCAACACAGTCCTGCGAACAACAGCCGGAATCCCTAACAGACACAATGATATCACGCAAGACTTACTAAGCACATCTGAAGGCCCCATCCCACGTGGCCGGGCAGGAGCAAAGTCACATACCGATCTCTGATGACCAACGCGCGTCCGGGCCACCAAACGACCGCAACTAAGGCCAACCAGAAGCCAACGACCAGTCCCACTCCGACCGAGCCCCCAAACCCCGCCAGATTCCAATGAGGCCTCACCCAACTCCAGCCCACACCGAAGGACACGTCAGTTTGAAACAGTACATCTCAGTCACGTTGTACAGTAAAAGGTGTCTGTGTGGCAGTACACGGGCAAGCGGCAGGTTTCTTTCTTTCAATTAGACCCTAACACAGCATATATTACATGATCTGATCAAAAAGCCCAAAATCAAGACAATTGAGAATATCAAAACATGGAGCACATGTTTCACCCTTCCTTAATATGTGACAATAGATCCCATTTTCTCCCCCCTTCCCCTCTCGGCCACAAGCTTCTTCCGCCCAGTGCTTTTTTACAGTGGCATGATCAAATTCCTTCATTTCATTCAGTTACAACTACTAATGACGGTGGTGCTGGCACTCCTCAGGTGTCACAGGGAACCTAGAATTATCACTGCAGTAGTCATAGACCATGTGGTTGGCCTTAACCCAGAGCAGCTCATGGCTCTGGTGAAGGTTGAGCTCAGACAATGCTGGTTCATCCCACCAGTACTTGTTCTCACCACTGCTGGTGCACTTCTTGGTCAAATCAGCTGCTGAGACTGATGAAGCAGGGCTCTCGCATGCATCAATTTGGAAACCTTTGTAGGAGGCAATGAATGGGGCATGGCTCCTATCGGTTTTGATCCGACCTCCTTGAGTCGCCCAATCGTCAGCGTTCCAGATCGAGCTGTAGACTCCCATTGGCTGGTCTTTGGGGAAAGGGATTCCCTTGTGCTCCAAGTTTGAGTGCTGCCTCACCACAGTGTCATCCACTAGAAATCTGAAAGGTCAAAACACCATCAATATATAGGATTAGAGAGTGTCGAACAAGATGAAAACTTTGCTCATCAAAATTTAGGAATTCAATCTGACAAACAAACACCCTTTTGAAAAGGACACTCCTTAAAGAGGGAAGCTTTCTTTCATCACCGTCTCATTTCAGGAGCCGTTCTGACTTCAAAGTTAAAAGGCAACGTTATCAAGAACAGAGATGGCCCCCTGAGGGTTCCCCAATATTTGGCATAATAATATCATCCCAAGATCCGATTTAAGTAATGCCTTTTCTTCTTTCTTAATGGCTTTGTTTTTGGTGTTATTCTTTGAAGGACACTGAGTGCCACATGACTGCAGTGAATATACAACACTTGGTAGATTGATTCATCCAATCTCACTGGCATTTGTTAATTGAAACTTTGCACACACATATACCCATAAGACTGATGATAGGTTACTTACATAACCTGGCGCGGGTTCCAAAAGATGGAGTAGTTGTGGAAATCCTTGGTGGGATCAAACCAAAGGTTCATCCTTTGCTCCCTATTGCCAACACCATTGACATAGACATTTGTCTGGATGAGGTAGGGTTCCCCTGTGGTGTTGCCCAGAAACTCGAAATCGAACTCATTGTGATTAGGACCCTCTGATGACATCTGCAAACAACAACAAAGAAGAAAAGATTGCAACTTCAGAGCAATACCCACCAAAGATTTCACCATCAAAGCATCTAAAGTGACCAATAATTGAAACCCAAAATGATCGTTGTCGATAACACGAGGGTGAATTGACAGATGCATATAATCAGAGGCCGCTTTTGGTTTAGCATTGTAATGCGACGTAATAAATTGCAGTAGGTTGTTGGTGGCTAGTTTAGCTAATAAAAACCATGAATGCACAAGAGTCCAAAATCATTTGACTCTTCAGGGACCCAGACCATAAATCCCAGTACAGCTAAGGTGAAATCAATTCCAATTCCTTATTATTTCATCACACGGAGAGACAAAATCATCATTCACGGGTTTTCCCCCCTCCCAATGGTCCTCCACCTTTTGGAAAAGAACAAAAGAAAACAAAACAAAAACAGGGGACCTCTGTGTTTCTTTGGCTGTGTTAAGTTTTACTTACATAGAAGGCAGTAACAGTCCCAGCAGAGTCTCCCTCCACAAGCTTAATCTGTATATTCACCTTCCCGAACAGATACTTGCTCTTGGACTGAAACCCAGATCCTAAAAAACAACAAAGAACGAGATATGCAAACGATCAGCATGATAGCACCAGAACCAGACGGAAACGGATGGAACCCAGAACAGGAAATGAGGAAAAGTAGTAAAGATAGAGAATATTTGGATCATAATAATAGACAATGTGAGAGATTTAAAGGTTTACCAGAAGAGTTGTCAAGTTTCAGCTTCAGCTGCTCCCCTTCATAGATGAAGTGATCGAAAGCCCAGCTTGGCTGGAACAGGTCGTCAAATTTCGAGGAGGTAACCAAACCCACCATCACAAAACCCATGAAAACCCCCATCAGAAGAGTCATTCTGCTCATCGAGACCGCCATTGGAACCGGGAAAAAGAACTAACTAGCTTTAGCTTGTGGAAGAAGAAGAGCAGAGCAAGGGAGAGAGAGTGTGAGTGAGTGAGTGAGAGTGCTCCGAATAGTGAGTGAGAAGCAATTCAACTTGAGATCCCTTTTATAGCCTCAAAGAAGGCCCTGTTGGCTGGCTTCCGGGGTAAGGGATGGCACGTCATATCATTTCACCACCTCACCCGCCATGTCAGATAAATTCAATTTACATTTATTATCTAAAAGTACAAAAAAGAAAGAAAAACCAAAGGGAAGAAAAGAAATGTAGCCGTTACAGTGTCTGTGCGCCCACTGGCCACTGCCCTGCAACCTTTCTCGTCCTCTCTTAGCTGTCCCAAGGCTGGGTGAGGGGTAATATGGGTACGGCATGTCTCCTATTCAAAAGGAGCGCCCTGGATCTTGTCCAATCGCTTTCCGACACGGTGGAGGATACAGCTGTTCTCACTTACCTGTCCAGTTTTCACTGCGGGTAGAATGAATGTTCAAAGAGGTTGACGCAAAACCATTCGCGGGGGAGGCGAAAGAAGATTGGGCGCTCTTTCTTTCTGGGATGTTGATTGGGTTTAGGTGATGATGGCAGCTGCCAACTGGACAGTACCTACTTTTTTAGCCCATTTTTGTGTAATTGCTAGTTACCCTACGCCCTGCGCCCTCTGCTCGACTTGCGTACACACAACACAAGTACACTACTGACAGAATCGCCACACAAACACTATGTTTGGGAAGGGGTGCAAATGGAAGGGGGTGCAAGTTTGGAGGGGTAAACACAAGTTCCAAGGTGTTTACCCCCGTTTGGTTATTTTGTAACAGTAGGAGGGTGCAAAACGTGAGCGTAAATTCACTGTTTCGGCTTACCCCCCAAATTGGGGTGCAAGGAAAGGAAGGAAGGGAGGGGGAAGGAGGAGGAGGGGAATTATGAATTTTTAATTAGATTATAATTACATAATAATTAATATTATTAATTTTTTCTTATATCTATATTAGTGTAGAAGTTGTTTGGGGTTGACCGTTTGACTAAGAGAGCAAGTTTGTCAATGTTCGCCTCGTCAAATCGATATCTCTTAGTTGACCCGAATTTGCATTGAAAATTAGAGATAAGAAGCATTTGTTGAAAAGATAGAGAGGAACAGTTTAGTTAACTCGATTTACTTTAATAAGTAGTTAAAACTTACAGATTCGAACGTGTTTGACTAAGTTTGACCATATTCAATTTAAAGTTAGGCACGAGAACCCCCTTAGGATGACCAGTTACGAGTTGGATTTCGAGTTTCGAGGTTGCTCGACCAATGATTATTATTGTTGTTATAAATAATTATATTTGAGCATTATTATATAATAATTATTTTTATTAAAATTATTTTTATTTATTATTTTTATTATTATATATTGAAATTTCATGTTATTATTTTGTGATAATATTTTATAAATTGATAAATCTATTTTATAATAATATAATTACTTACTTTTTACTCTATTTGCACCCCCCTACTTTTTCATCCAAACAACAATTTACCCCTCCACTTACACCCTCCACCAAGTTGCACCCCTCAACAATTTACCCCTCAACTTGTACCCCCTCGAACTTGCACCCCCCTTGTTGCCAAACATAGTGAAAGGGATGAATGGGTTGGGTATGGTTTCTCTAAATTCACACCTATTCAAAATTTTAAGGGTGGGTCGGATGAGGAATGCTAATAAGTCAATTCGATTGAATGGTTTTGTTTTGTTTTGTTTTGAAATAATTTAGCTAAATTGATCCGTTTTGTAGTACAAAATTTGGATGAAACAATTCAGTATGAGAAAATTCAAATTGATTCGTTTTAAGTCAATTACAATTGTCTGGAGTGAGGACAGACAATTCGGATTGTCTAGTTTTAAATTACCATTTTGTAAAATGAGACAGTGGACTAAATTGTCTCGTTTTTCAATTGATCCGTCCAAACGACTCCTCGGAAAATTATCTATTAGGTTTGTACTGGTTGGGTGGAAAGTGGGTTAGCTTTTTACAAAATTCAAACCCAACCCTCCAATTTCAAAAGCAGTAAAACCCGCACCCAACCAAAAATCCATCAATACTAGATTGTATTGTACCCGCTTTAACATGGTTGAATCCTATTTGTAATACCTGTAAGTTTGAGGTTCGGTCTAACTACACAACTAGTACACTATCATTGTATCACATACCCCACTTCTCTGGGATTTTCAAAAGTTCTTTCCTCTTTAGGGCATAAACAAAGAGCAGTGCTTATTAAATCGACAGTACTCATTATCGTTGTCAAAAAAAAAAAAAAAAAAAAGACAGTACTCATTATCGTTTTAACAAATCAATTGACAGTAGCATTATTGTCTTCTTTTACCTCTGATTAATGTTCTTTGTGGTTTCGAAGTTCATTGCAGGAAGCTTAATTTAAGTAGGGGAAAGCAAAGCAAGTGGGCAGTGGAAGGGAATCCAAGACTGGGCAAGTGGGTTAGATTGCAGTTTCAGGTAATAAAATTATAAACAAGTGAAAGTTGGCAATGATGGGGGCTGGCTATCTATGGATAGGCAATAAATGTCGTCATGTCCAGTCTCCTTTTGTATTATAAAATTAGCGGTTCAGATGGGTGACTAGAAAGATTTGTGAACAGTTCATCAACAAAAAGATTATGACAAAATACATCTGTATAGTCATAACTTTCACACTTTTGACAAATATAGCCATTTCTATTCGAAAACCACAAATAGCCAATTCCGTCCATTTTGGTAACGGTGTTAGTAGACGTTATGACTGTATTAACGGCTTGTGCTGAGTTGGCCACTGAGTTACCCCACCTTCTGACGTGGAAATCAGACGTGGAAATAAAATAAAATAAATGAAAACAAATTTAAACAAAAAAGAACAAATTAACACATAAAACCATAAACCATTTTCTTCCTCTTCCACTAATTCCTTATCCGCCCACCATAAACATCCTCTTCCGCTAATTCCTTTTCCGGCCACAGAGGAAAGATCCAAAGTTCCTTGTACCCAAACCCAGACTCTTTCCTGATTTCCGCCCCGTCTCTGCAGCATCCAACAAGGTGTTCTAGCGGAATTCCCAAATCGAGTGAGCTCAGCTCCTCCGTCTACACCCAGCAATGGCGGTCTCTGCTTTCAAATCCAGTTCCAGACGAAGACCCACTCGCCCTTCCCCACTTCCTCGTCCCGTCTGATACGGAGTCCAAGTCCGCCGGCAAACCCAAAACCGTGCCTCCCCCGCCCCCTGCCCTCCGCCGTTATAGAAGCGTCAGCGTCGTCGCAAGAAACCCCCGCCCACCAAAAGCATCGACTACAATAAATGTTGAGGGAGTTTGAATCTCGAATCAGAGCGACGCCTGATCTGGGTCGAGCATGCTGAGCACGTACGGCGGGGACAATTCAGATCCGTCGGCTGGAGCTCCTGTTCTTCTCGAAATTAGAGGTCGAGTTTGTGTCGACGCGACGACTTGGAGGTCGATTATGGCTGAGCTTTCGTGATCGCCGGAGTTAAGGTTTGACTGGGCTAAGCACGACTGGATATACCGATCCTCGACGGTGATGATGCGGACGCGACAAGGAGCTGGACCGCGACTGGATCTACCGGCGCTCGCGTCGACGACCACTTCTGTTGCGACTAAACGTCGCCGGGATCTGATTTGGGGACACGAATTGAAGATTGCGTCGGAAGGATGAAGGGATTTTGGGGAACGGAAGGCTGGGTTTGGATTTGGGGTTTTTGGTTATGGTTGGGGGAGGATTCAAGCGAGACAAATTGGGAAGATGGGAAAAGGCAGATTTGGGAAATCAACGAAGGGTTCTTGATCTAGGTTCTTAGGATTGAGTTTTTTTTTTTTTTAAGATATGACGATGGCAGAGGAAGGTTGAGAGATAATGCACAGCAGAGGGAAGGGGGAAAGTTAGAAAAAATATTTTTTTAATTTCAAAATTAATTATTTTTATAACTCAAAATGACGTGGCAATAATATGATGACTGGTCGCTGACGTGGGTGATGATTTGGCATCCTAATCAGCCTAACGTTAACCTAACTAACGGAGCTTTTAACACCGTTAAAGTTTCTAACGGAAATGGCTAAATTTGTCACATGACCATCCGATTTGTTGGCTATTTTGTGTTTTCCGATAGTTATGGTTATATTTGTCACAAACGTGAAAGTTATGGCTATACAAGTGTATTTTGCCAAAGATTAAACTAGGATTGGGAATGTTCTTGCTGGGAAGTTTATTATATTACAGGTTCACATAATTGGGTCCGTGTAAGAGATTAGAGATATATGCTGCTATATTTTGCAAGTCCCTTCCCTAAGTCCTTGCCCATTACATGGTCCTTGTTTTTCAGGCAAGATTTTATATTGTAAATTGAATACTTGGACATAATAAAAAACCCCAAGGAGTGGGTTGATTCTCTAAATATTTTTTTTATTTTACCGATGGTTTACAAAAAATTGACACAAATATTATGTTTTTTAGGGAGAAAACAGTGAGTCCGCCCCACACTCAGACGGAGAAGCTAATTGAATTATATTGAACCAATACGAGCGGATTCGTCCGAGACTGGGGCGTTGGAGCCTTTCTTTTTGGTTTTTGAATGTCGATTTTGTTGACAAGCGGAGGCGGCAGAGACTGAGGCGGGTTTGGTGGGAAATTTCACCTAACGGAGGTGCCCGAGACTGAGGCGGGTTCGCAGCCTCACCACCCACTTCAACACCATATAACCAGCGATTTTCCTTTCAATTGTTTACCACCAAAAAAATCGACGAAGTTAGACGAGAGAAGCTCTGGTTGCTGCAAAGATGGCTAATAGGTATGAGATGCATTTATTTCTTTTAATTATGTTCTTCAAATGATGTTATGATTTTGTTTAGTTAGTAATTAGTGAGTTTGTTTTTTTATGTAGTGATTTTAGAAGATTTGAACTAGTCGTTGGGTGGAAATCAGAGAAAGTAGAGGATAATT